AAGAATTCTGTCTTTTAAACCCAGATAGTTTTGAGGTACAAATGTGGTGGTCCAGATGATCACCATGGTTTAATTTCTAAAACCGTGCTGTTTTTATGTAGTAATTTGGTGATTCAAATGGCACAAGAATTCTGTCTTTTTAAACCCAGACAGTTTTGAGGTACAAATGTGGTGGTCCAGATGATCACCATGGTTTAATTTCTAAAACCCATGCTGTTTTTATGTAGTAATTCGGTGATTTAAATGGTCACAAGAATTCTGTCTTTTTAAACTAAGATAGTTTTGAGGTACAAATGTGGTGGTCCAGATGATCACCATGGTTTAATTTCTAAAACCCATGCTGTTTTTATGTAGTAATTCGGTGATTTAAATGGTCACAAGAATTCTGTCTTTTTAAACTAAGACAGTTTTGAGGTACAAATGTGGTGGTCCAGATGATCACTAGGGTTTAATTTCTAAAACCCATGCTGTTTTTATGTAGTAATTTGGTGATTCAAATGGTCACGAGAATTCTGTCTTTTTAAACCCAGACAGTTTTGAGGTACAAATGTGGTGGTCCAGAGGATCACCATGGTTTAATTTCTAAAACCCATGCTGTTTTTTATGTAGTAATTCAGCGATTCAGATGGTCACAAGAATTCTGTCTTTTAACCCAGATAGTTTTGAGGTACAAATGTGGTGGTCCAGATGATTGCTAAAGTTGAATTTTCAAACTCAGTTGGTTTTCCTGCAAGTAATTTGATGGACCAGATGAACACGGTTTTTATATACTACTTCCATGGTCCAGATGAACACAAACAAGGGTTCAGTTTTTTAACCCACACGGTTTTTATATATTACTTCGATGGTCCAGATGAACACAAGGGTTCAGTTTTTTAACCCACACGGTTTTTTATATATTACTTCCATGGTCCAGATGAACACAAGGGTTCAGTTTTTTAACCCAGCCTGTTTTCATGTAATATTGCAATGGTCCAGATGAACACGAAGGTATCCTTTTTTAACCCAGCCTGTTTTCTGTAGTACTTCGATGGTCCAGATGAACACAAGGGTTCAGCTTTTTAACCCAATCTGTTACCTGTAGTACTTCGATGGTCCAAATGAACACAAAGGTTCAGTTTTTTTAACTCGGCTTGTTTTCTTGTAGTACTGCAATGGCCCAGATGAACACAAAGGTTTAGTTTTTTAATCCAGCCTGTTTTCTTGCAGTTCTTCAGTAGTGTTGCAAAATACAAAGTGGCCATCTGGTGAATGGTATTAACCTAATATATTCATTCCTTCATGTAAACAAAATTTGATTTAATAGCAATTTTATGAGATGAGCTTGATGACTGTAATTATTGTGTCTACTCAAACCAGACATTCCATTATTGATTTTATCATTTTAGTTATTGGATAATCTTCAGTCAGCTGAAAGTATGCTAAGTAATCATAAGTTTGTGTGTACCCTGTTACATTATCATTTGAATGCTTGGTAAAAAAAATAAAGTTGCGAATATATGTATCTTTAGTATCCTATTACCTTATCTATATGTGCTTGGTAACCATTCGTGAACCATTTGTTCCTCTTCAACCTCGCTCGTGGAATGTTAGTTTGCGTGATTCTGGAGGAGGAAAAAAGGGAAGGGTAAGGAGGCTGGCAACAAGGAAGAAGTATAATATTGAATTTTCATCCTCTTCATTTTCGTGTTTGGTGTTCAACTGTTGCTGCTACAGGGAGACACCAGGCATTCTTATATGTGTGGAACTTATGGTATTTTCTTGATGTTCTATTAACTAATAATTTATTGATTTATTAACTAATTAATTAACGAATCAGCACCCCTCTCAGGGTGAGCAGGAGCCTATACGTACCTGGAGAAAACCCACTTTCACGGGGCAGACACCGAATAGTTATCTGCCGTGTGCCCAAGCTCAAAAAGAAAGAAAATGATTAGTCTTGACATAAAATATACATACATTCGGTTAGCCATCGTGGTTTTGTGTGAAAAGGTTGCATGAGGAGATGTGTTTTGTAGGGGTGCCGGGAATTTTACAGAGTGTGCTTGTTAGGTTGTTTCTATTTTGTGTAATAGATCAGTTAGCCTACTATTAAGGGTAGGGAGATTGCTTATTTTGTGTAGGTATTTAATGGGAGTGTATTTTGGTAATTTGTGGGCTAATCTTAGTATCTTATTTTGTTCTTTTTGTATTTTATCTAGTGTATTATTTGATGTATTATAAGTTACCTGACAGCTGTGTTCTATGAGTGGGCAAATGTATGATTTGTAGATTTTGAGTATTGTTAGCAATAGTTTAAAGCCACAGATGTTTTTCATATTTGCAGACTGATCTCTTCAGATTGTTTAGGGTCCACAGTATCCCATCTTTGGTTTTGATAGATGGTGCTTCTGGGGAAGTTATCACCACACATGGACGTGACTGTGTCTCTGATGATCCAAAGGGTGATGGTTTCCCGTGGAGACCAAGGGACCCCAAGCAGGTTTTACGAGAACTAACTCTTCTTACCCCTGAACGAAAAACCATCAAGTTTGAATCTCTCAATGGTTATGTGAAAGGCTTATATTTTTCAGCTCACTGGGTAAGTGTTTGGGTAAAACAAATGTGAAAATGTTCTTATGCTGTATATAAATAAGTAGCAGTTAATTAAAAGCTAGAAATGCTGTACCCTGAGTTTCTTTTGATTTAATGTATTCTTTTTAAAATGTTGAATTCTATTTGCTCTTCCCTCTCTTTGTGCAAAAATCACCAAAAAATCACAAAAATTCCATCTTTTTCTACTTTATTATCCTGCCTGTAAACTTACTTGACAGATCATCATTAAACTTCTGATATTTTTCACTTTACTGTCCTGCATGTTAAACTTACTTGACAGATCATCATTAAACTTCTGATCTTTTTAATTTACTGTCCTGCATGTAAACTTACTTGACAGATCATCATTAAACTTGTGATATTTTTCGATTTTACTGTCCTGCACGTAAACTTACTTGACAGATCATCATTAAACTTCTGATCGTTTTTTTAATTTACTGTCCTGCATGTAAACCTACTCAACAGTTGATCCTATTTTATTATCCTGCATGTAAGTATATGCACAGATTGTTAGTAAATTTAAAATTTTCTCATGCTTTCATGTTCAGTACATTGTGTAAATTTTCCTTACTTACAGTCCTCTGTGATTTAAGTTACTTAGTTTTTTTTTCATTTACCAGTGTCCTCCATGTAAAGCATTCACTCCTCAGCTGGCTGCCACCTATCAGAAACTCCAAGAAGCAGGTAAAAAATTTGAGGTAATATTTGTGAGCTCAGACCGAAGTGAAGACTCATTTCAACAGTACTTCAGTATCATGCCTTGGCTGGCAATTCCTTATAGTGACGAGAAGAGACGGAAAGAACTGGCTGTTCTCTATGGAGTTGGAGGTACAAAAGTTAAGAAGCAGCGAATATTATAAAGTTTTTGTATTTGTTTGGTGTTTTGAAATATTTTTACCTTATACCTTCACATTCCCTTACTTTCATTGGTCCATTTTATATGCATATCAGTTAGCAGCCAAGTATTTAGCATACTTTTTTATGTTCTCTAATCCCAAACACTTATTATTACAATAATGAATTTACAGAACTAGTGAATGAACCTAAATCTAGAAACTTGGTAATTTCTATAAAACAACCTAAATTTTCATCAAAGCTTGTTCGTCTGATTTTCTCTTTAAAGATGTTTTTTGTATAAACAACTTACATATGCGGATATAAGCATCAACTTAAGTTACACCAAAAGTCAGATGTTTTGGTGACACATTACATTTCTTCAATGTCATGTTTACATTGGTGATGCACACACACATACTGTGTTCCTAAGTGTCATGTCTGTACTGGTGACACATGTTGCATTCTTCAGTGTCATGTCTGTACTGATGACACACATTGCATTCTTCAGTGTCATGTCTGTACTGATGACACACATTGCATTCTTCAGTGTCATATCTGTACTTGGTGATACACAATGCATTCTTCATTGTCATATTT